AGTTTGGATAATGGTATATTTTTGTACTCCCTCGTTATGGTTCAAGCTCGAGCTCTGCATCAGTCCTTAGCCATCATTACATTGGGTAGTGTTTGAAGTGCAGTTGTACGTTGTGTCCTGCGCCCCTGCTGGGGCGGGGCGCGGCAGATGGTCAGGTTCGCAGGCCGGCACCGGCTGCGCGGCAGATGCGCGCCGCCGCCGCAGTTCGCACGGCCCCGGCTCGCGGCCCCCGCTGTCGGCAGTCGCCGTGGGGAGAGCAGAGGGTAGGTGAACTGAAATACAGAGAAGTTTTGGTGAAATACTTGGCGTCTCACTACAGGTAGCCAGCTGGCCCTTACTACCCAAGGGATGAAGCATCGGGCTTGATTTTGATAATCAGCAGTTAACTTCAGATCATTTGCAGTATCCCCGGCGAAATACTTGTCAGAATGACGTGAACTATCGTGATCTGGAGAAAATTAATGCGCTCTTTATATGTACATGCGTATAAAGCTTGCTTTTCCAGGGTTGCGTGCAAGCAGATGGTTTCCCGTGAAAATAGAAGACGTAAGAATCTTGGAACGGAATGGCCAAAATCCGATGTTTTTCTCGGAAGGGCCCCAAGTTCCACACTGGCCTACAATGTTGCGTGTCCAGCCCCTTGTTGAAATCCTGGATCCGCCTCCAGTTCAAAATGCCAACGTCTAGGACGAGAACGCACTGCTGGCTTCTACCGTCCTGGTCGTTTGCTCCCTCCCTCTACCCCCACCCTCTTCTCCTCCCCGCCCGATCGGACCTAGAGGACGCGCAAGACTAGGCGGGACGGGTTAGGACGGGTTGGAGACGGGACGGGACGCTGCCCAAGTATTGCAGCGTAAAGCATTAACCACAGGCTTACAAAAAGAGTCAATAACACAGTACAAAATGTGTCACAAGCTTCTGTACCTGTACCCGGCGCGCCGCCCCACTTCCATTCATAAACTCGCAGAACATCAAGCTGCCAAATATTTTGGGGAAGGGAACACGGAACTATGGTAGAAAAGTGGGAGCAAAATTATCAGCTGTTAGTGTCCGTTCCAAATGTACCGCAGCAAATTCGTCATCGTATCGTCAAACGTCGGCTTTGAGCCGTGCTGTGGTATTGCGGTTGCGAGCGTGCGGGGATGGTCGATGGCGCAGAGTATCAAGCTTACAGGAGAAATAATTGAAGTGGTTGAAGGTAACTACGTCAATGCAATTATTATTGGGCAGTCTGCTTCTTGTTATGTTGCGCTTTTTGCATCGTTCCGGGCATCACTGCGCAGGCAGCACTTTTGATAAAATAGTGAAGTGACCTGATTCTCCAACAAGTTACAGGAATATGTCTCTTAGCACTGTGTTAAGCTTGTGCACGTTTACAGATGACTTAAATAATTGTACTATGGATGTTTCTAAACAAGCCACATTCTAAATTGTCATGGGTTGTGACTCATTTCTGTGGAACTTGCTTCATGACTGATTTATCAATATCCCTACATGCATCCAGGCTAAAAAACATGTGAGGAAAATCTCTGGCATAGAAGCAATATTGCAGCAGGAATTGAGGTACATATATGCTGTAGATTGGAGCTCTCTAAGAGTTTGGGATGAGGTCAGCACCAATTTCAATGCTCAAAAGAGCCAGCCTTTTGGGGAAGTATGATGTATAGATACTCCCAGATAAAAGCACTACAAAAATATTTTCAGGCAGAAACAGTGTGAAAATTTAGCCCAGTTTGGCCTGGTCTGACTTCAGCTGACACCAAATTTCAACACAATTTGACCTGGCCTGTGTTTGGTGGGTGAGAGCATGGTGTTTATTGCTTTGATGTTGACATTGCAGGTGCAGTTGTCAGATGTAGTGAATGGGTTTTGTATCCTAACACTGTGCTAGATGCCTATATAATATTTGTGTCCTCAACCTCACACCAGTCCAGGGATGTACTTTCTTAAACTCACCCCAGGCATAATTGCAATGAATTTTCTTTACCTTACTTTACCTTACCTGAACTTTTGCTGGTCAGGAAATTGAAGCTGCCTGTCAATGATGGTCTGTCTGTGGCTATCAACCCCAAATACAGGCATACTATGGTCTTGCACAGTAGAGGCAGCATGCTAAGGTTGATGCTGGTGATTGACCTGCTCAAGCTCACAACCCCCTCAGCACCTGGCTGGTTTTGAAATCACCTCTGCTGTCTGCACATGGAACTTAAGCGTGTAATCCACAAAGATTCCAAGGATCTTGTCCTGGGTTTGAGGGTGATTTTGATGCCATTCAGGAAATGGGTCAGTCTCTGGTTGCATTTGCTGATATACTTTACTCTGCACTTTGATGCATTGAGAGGGAGTAGCTGCTCCTCACACCACTCAATCAGGGCATCAAGGTAGACCTGTAGAGGTGACACAGTCAGGAGCATTGAAACAACAGTATACCTTAGTGTTATCCACAAACATTTTTACAGTGTTTAGCACCTGATCTAGTAGATCATTTACAAAAATGATGAACAGGATTGGTCCCGGGCCCGATACTCGCAACATGCCACTGATGCCTTCAATCCAGTCTGACTACAAGGGATGGATCTGCACTCTTTTGCATCCAATGGGTAAGGAATGCCCTGATTCAGTGCAGCAAGATGCCTCTTGCACCATAAGCACAGAGATAGGAGAGAAGACAGTTATGAGACACAGAATCAAGGGCCTTGCAGAAGTCAAAGAATGCTACATCTGCCAGCTCCCCACCTTCTACTGTGGTGCTCCAATCTTCCACGATTCCCAATAGCTGGGTGTTACAGGAATGCTTTGGGAGAAGCCCATGTTGGGCTACATGAAGGAGTTCAGCCTCTGAAAAGCAGTTAATTAGAGCATATCTGACAGCACATTCAGGTAGCCTGGAAGGGACAGTAGTAAGGTTCACTGGCAGTAGCTCGCTGGAGGCTGTCAGTAATCTTTCTAAAGATCAGGGCTACCTCACTAAGCTTCCACTGTCTGGAAGCCTTCCAGATGTCAATGATTTTTGGAACAGTGTGCTCAGAGGTACTGCCAGGACATGTGCAGACTCACAAAAAGCCCTGGGGTGCAGATCATGTGGCCCAGGGGTGCTATAAGTTTCCAGTGACATCAATTTCTTTGCCACTGCCTTGGTAGAAATTTCCACATCATCCAGAAATAACTCATCAAAGTTGCAAGACATGAGTACAACACTAGATCTTTGTCTGTGAAAACACTAGCAAAGAATTTGCACAGAACATTGGCCTATCCTATGTTACTGCTGGTCAACAACCCATGTTGGTCAAGAGCATCAAGAAGCAGACCAATGGGAAATTTATGACCACATGGTCACTGTTTCCTAGTCCAGGCATGTTACATTGAAAATGACTTGCATGGCATCATCACTGCAGCCTAAACTTTAATGTATGCATGTTGTATGTCTGGGTGCTCAGCATTTGGTACAATGTCACCAGCAATTTGCAATCAAATATTGAGTGAAAAATGTGTTGTCCTGAAATTATATCACAACATGACAATCCCTGAAACATTAGCTCTCTAAGCAATTAGTGGTGGCCACATGCCAAACACTGAGCTCTCAGATGGTGAATATACAATTAGGTGTTAGCTGCAGTAATGCTGTTCTGCCAATCATGTTTAGGCTAATGCGCACTTCGTACAGTCTGGCCTTCTGATAACTGTCTTTTAGCATGGAATTGTAATGCAAATATGTTGTAACTTTGGTAAGAAAAGCACTTGGGCATGCCCCACTCATTGCTCAGTTCTAAGTCAGGGTCAAGGTAAATCAATCCAACAAGGTCAGTCTTGAACATAATGGACTAATGATGTATCTTCATGGAAACAAATATATCTTCCATGTTTCTATAGCCATAAGATAGCCATGTCATAGCTATAAAATAGCCAATAGCCATATCTTTTGCTCCATGATGCTGAATTATACTTGTACAAAAACACTATGTGCAACTTGTGTTATTCAGTTGCTGCAAGCCATGATTATCATGTGCCCCAGGGGTAAATGATCATGATAATATGAGCCAGCATTTTGGGTTACATCACTGGAATCAGTCGTGATATTAATGGAAAACGAGTCAGATTAGTGGAGGGTGCCCTAACCAATCTTACCTAAACTCACCTCCGCTCTTACTCCCCAGACAGCAAAAAATATCAGATATGTTGGGCATAGGAATGACCAAGTGAGAACAATTTCAGCATACATATATTGTAGCTGTGAACTTTGGCATGCCAAAACTATGTGAAAATGAATGTAATTTGGCATGGTGTGAGTATGTGCTGTAATACTTTTAAAGGTCTTTGTTGTGTTAGAAAGTTATTTTTTGCAGGCTTAATGGATAGGCACATAATATGTGATTAGTACATGTCATCATTGTACAGTACAGTACAATTGATGTACAACACTGATATAAGATGCAGTTTCACTGCCAATTTGAGATTTGTGATATAAATTTGTCTATCAATGATTTTCAAGCTTTGCTCATTGTTTGGAAATTTATGTGTACTCTTTGGAAGTTTGGATAACATAAAACTTCCATTACTGTGGCACGTTTTATGTTATATTGTTATATGCTGCTATTGGCAGTTGTATATGTACCCTTGCACCCATTCTTCAAATTTTCAATTTGGGTCTCTACAGCCCACTTTAAATCACATGTCTTTTCCCTCTGCAGTGGGATCACCATAAGGTGGCCAGCATGGACGACAGCAGCGTCAGCGAGGGCATCGAGGAGGCGTGCGAGGCCACCGAGAGCTTTTTCAGCAGCGACTCGGCCGATCCGAGCGGCGACGCTGGCGCCGCCGACGCCGCCGTCGACACTGCCGACGCCGACGAGGACGAGGAGGAATCGCGCAGCGCGGCCAGCAGCCCGATCGGACCGGCCGCCGTGCCTGAGTCGCCGCCCGACACGCCGGCGGCCGCCACGCCGCCCGAGTCGCCGCCGCCGCCGGCCGAGGCACCCGGCTCGCCGCCCGACAGCCCGCCGCAGAGCCCGGCGGTGCCGGCCGCGCCGCGCCGATCCACGCCACTGGCGCAAGAGACGCTCAACCTGTCCATCGACAACGAGCTGGACTTCGAGGCGGAGGCGCCGGACGGCGGCGACGCGGCGGTCGAGGCGGAGACGCTGCCGACCGACGCAAGTGCCGAGCCGGCCCTCGAGGCGAGCGGCGCCACCGGCGAGGATGGTGAGTGCGCCGAGGAAGCGGCCGACGCCGGTGCCACCGCGCCCGCCGAGAAGGCGGCCGACGAGGACTCGCTTGAGGAGGGCGAAATCTCTGACGACGAGGACAAGAACCTGCGCAACGAGCCCAAGTCGGTGTGCCGGTTCTTCAACAAAGGACAATGCACTTGGGGGATCAGCTGCAGGTCAGTGATGTTTTGCTACTCTCGGCTGCGGTATCGTCACTTGTAGCATGAAGCGGGTTAAGAACGGGTAGCTCGCGTTGCCTTTATAAAGGAGGCATATCTATGGGACTAATTCTAGTCAAATTAGCGAAATACGAGAGGGCACTGATCTGAACCGATCGTGTTATTCGTGTTTGCCATTTTGTCTCAATTAGCTGCCGTGAGTCTGATTTCTCCGGCCCTGATCCCCGCGCCTCCCGCACTGTTCCGTCCCCAATTGCCAACCAAATTCGAGGCACCTGAAATGCTAGGTCGCCGGAAGTAGATTAGAGGACATGAGTGACACAGTTTGACTCTTGTCGATGTTCCAGGCAATCACTCGTATGTATGTGGCTTTTTTACCAGATATTCCTTCAAATGTGACAATTTCATGCTGCTATTATTTTGCAGTGTTGAGCTCAGTTCGCCGCTGTCCTCAGATTCATACATCCAGGGGTAACTGACAAAGGAAACTACAATATGTTTGCCCCTGCTAGACCTCCAGCGCCTCCCAAACCTCCAGAGGAAGACCAGAAAGAGGAGGAGAAGGTAGTATGACATCCAAAGGAATATGTTTCTCGGGTTGTTGTATATTCTTCTAATTTTTCTTCTGTCATCAGCGATTTATATTGGGTAATACTTTATATTCATGGCTAATTTGTAGAATCGCCTGGCTGGAATCGCATACGCTGCCGTTTTAGCGTAGAGAGGGTCCTGCATTTTCGATCGTACCCATCTGGCTTGCTGTGACGTGCCTGTCAGTACGGCCCACGTCAGTTGTGTGGGGCGGCGGCGCGGTGAGCCGCGAGCCAGTGTGACCGGGGCCCATGTTGCAGCCGGCGCCGCCGCCGCCGGCTCCCGAGCCGCGGCCCGGGCCCGGCTTCGAGACGGCCTGGGAGCGCGCCATGCGCGAGGCCAAGGAGCGCGTGCGCAAAGCCTCCAAACGCCGCGAGACAGACGTCGACTTTGAGGAGAAGAAGATGAATCTGAGCCTGGCGCAGGCAGAGTTCGATAAAGAGAACGACTATTACACGCGGCCGGCCAGTCCGACAGTCAAGGAAGATCCGCACCGGCGGCGGGGGTGAGCGGGCGGGCGCGCGCAGTTGACCTTTGACCGGTGATCGTAGCTAGAGTAACGCACAGTGGGACAGTGTCCCGTTGGCTAGGGCCGCTAGGGAGCGCCAGCCGGCGGGCCGCGCGCAGCACCAGTAGCCGTAAGCGTGGGTTTTTGTCGGCACAGGTGAGTTGTGGAGTGGGAGCCGTCCTCGTGCGATAACTTTAAATGTAACAGCTTGCGGGTCTGATTGTGTCTAGTTTTGACGTTGGCTCAGTGTTTAAGTAGCATTGTTTTACAGTTCATGTAAGGCCCGGTCTTTATGACTGCAGCTGATTCTCTGCCAAGTAGCTAGTGAAAATGAGTTGCTATTATTTTACTCTCTCAATGCTACCATTTATGCTGCAGTGTCCATTAGCCAATGTTTGGTGTGAAACTGGAAGTTGGCCACCCTGCTGTTCAGAAATCAGTTGACCAACTGAGAGGTGCCTGACCACAGCTATTCTGCTCTGACTGATGCCCGCCGTTCAGCCTCTGACCCAGGGTCGCCTCCGCAGGCACTTTGACCCGTACGACCCGTACGAGCCGCGGCGCCGCTCGCCGCCGCCCGAGGCGTACCGTCTGACGCCGGGCCCGCTGCCGGGCCACGAGCCACCGTACCCGCCGCTACGGCTGTTGCCGGGCCGGCCCCGGCCGGACTTCCCGCCGCCGTACCTGGGCGGGCCGCGACCCTTCCGCGGTCGCCCTCTGCCGCCCTACGGCCACATGCACCCGGCCGAGGCGCTGCGCGGCCGCGGCGGCTTCCGCGGCCGCGTGGCGCCGCCGCACCCGGGCTTCGGGCCGCCGTACGGCGCGCCGTACCCGCACGGACCGCCCCGGCGGCTGTCGCGCGAGCGCGAGCGGCCGCACAGCGCCGAGCGGCGCCCTCCGTCCGGCTCGCCCGACAGAAACTGGAAGGACGAACGGTGAGCGGAAGTGAAAACAGGAACACGAACAGGAACAGGAACGAGAACCGGGGCAGATGCGGGGATGCGGGCAGTGACGGGGACGGGGGTGGAGGAGGGGGAGGGGGGCGCCAGTTTGGCTGAGCTAACCGGTGGAATGATGGACTGTTTGACGAGTGGGGTTGGGTGTCGTGGGACATTGCAGCCACCATGTTTGGAAGTGGCTCCCACTAAGTTTGTTGCGCTGTTGTACTCCCACCACGTTTCTTTGACTTCGTAGAATATCGTAATCGCAAAGTGACGGGTACTCTCGTCAACGGAGAAGAGGTGTAGGTTTTCGCAAATCTCCTACGCTTGCCACCAGTTGGCCCATTCATCATTTAGTTACAGGACGTCCCGTGCACCAGTCCGTGGCACTATACAGCCTCTCTGTGCGCGTCTCTGGCCGCGTTTACGGTAATCTGCGCCCGCCAGGTACCGGGAGGTGGCTAGTGCGCGCCGAAGTCGCGGCGACGACTTCGTCGACCCCTGGATGCGTGCCAAATCTCCCAAGCCGCGCAGGAGGCGCAGCTACTCCTCTGGCTCGTCGAAACGCTCATTGTAAGGCGGCGGCGGGTGTGGTGCGACAGCCCTCTGTTGGTGTAGCCCAGCTGGTGGGCCTGGATCACTTACCGGTCTGAAGTAGGACCTCGTGCTGGGCAGCCTGCATCAGTGTGCCGTGTTCCTATTTGTTTTGTATCATTGACGTGGAACGCTTCGAGGATTCGTCGTGGTCCCCCGCAGCAGCGCGCGGGTTAGCGCCCGTGCGGAGCGTCGAGAGCGACACCCGGCACACCCTGCGGAGCGCCGTTGCCCCCCCCCCCCCCCCCCACGGCTGACGCTCGCCGCCTCGGCCGCCAGCTCGTCTCGCAGCCGCTCCAGCTCGTTCTCGTCGCGCAGCCGGTCGGGCAGCAGCCGCAGCCGCTCGGGCAGCCGGTCCTCGTACTCGCGCTCCCGGTCGCGCAGCAGCGGCTCCCGCTCGCCGCCGGCGCGCCGCGGAGGTACGACCGCCGCTCCGTCCGCGGCGATGACGCCCGTGGCACGCGGTGCTTACCCCGCTCGGGGATGCCAGCTTGCGTGTTTGAGGTGGCGTGAGCGTACAGGACGCTGTATTCGTGTTTTGCGTTTAGGTCCAGAGAATGTGGTAGTTGGAGCAAAATGTTTTCATAGATATGTCTCGCACAGCCAATACATCGTCTCTATCGTACTGTCCCATAACTTATTGTTATGGTGTGAAATGTTTGTCATGAAAAGGATAGGGATACTGCAGTGCGTGACATGACAGCTGTTATGAAGCCTGCACAAGTGCTGACGCCTGGTCCGGATAATTGGCACCCCGTCTAACCCCTCTCGCTGCTGACGCCCACGCTCTACCGGCAGTGTCGTCGGGCGGCCGCCAAAAGTACCCGTCGCACACAATGGGCGCAATCCTAGGCAGCGGCGAGTCCCGCGGCGGGAGCGACGCTGGAGCCCACCGCGGCGGACCGGCGCAACAGCGCGGGCAGCCGGCGCCACGCGGTCGCGGCGCGCTGCTCGGCACCCGCGGCGGCCGCGAGCTCGAGGCCCGGCAAGTTCGCGAGCCCGATTCGAGAGGAGCGAGGGAGGTGGAGCCCAGGGGCTGGAGAGATGTGGAGGGAAGAGGTGGAAGAGATATGGATGCAAGAGGCTGGAGAGACATGGACGCAAGAGGTGGGAGGGATATGGATGCAAGAGGTGGTAGAGATATGGATGTTAGAGGTGGGAGAGATATGGATGCAAGAGGTGGGAGAGATATGGATACAAGAGGTGGAAGAGATATGGATACAAGAGGTGGGAGAGATATGGATGTGAGAGGTGGGAGAGATATGGAGGCTAGAAATATGAGGGGTGTAGAAGCAAGAGGGGGTAAAGAGACGTCGTCCAGAAGTGGGAGAGAGATTGGGTCGAGAGGTGGGAAAGAGGTCGAATCCAGAGGCGGGCGGGTGCAGGAGAGAGGCGGTCATGGGGACGACTTCCGCGCCGGACGCGAGCTGGATGTCAGAGCTGCCCGCGACAAGGAAGCACGCTCCGGCCGAGACGCCGACGCACGAGGCGGCCGCGCCGACGACTCGCGGCGCGCGGCCGACTCGCGGGTGGGCCGCGAGCACGAGCCGCCCCGAGCCGGCGCTGGTGGCGAGGCGCGCGGCGACGGCCGCGCCGCACCGGGCAGGGACTCGCGCAGTGGCGCGCGGGGGGCGCCCGGCTCGGCGCCGCGCGCCGCCGCCCGCGCCAAGCCGGCCGCCGACGGCCGCGCCGAGGCGAGGAGCGGCGCCGGGCGCGACGCGCGCGCGCCGGCTGCCGGCGACGGCAGGCCGAGCCACGGCGGCGGCGGCGCGCGCCAGCCGGCCGACCGCAGGCGAGTCAGCCGACATAGCAGGTGCGTTCGGCGGGCGCCGCCGGGCTCGGCCGGACGCCTGGTACGAACACCGGCGGTGTGGGCTCCCTGCGCGTGGGCTCTGAGCACGCCCGTAAGCCATTGTGTCGCTGTTGGAATGATGCTTCAGAACAGACGCATTGCGTGTCTGGGTAGAATTAGTGCGTTGTTAAGTTGAGGTGTGCCTCACTGATGCTTTAGAACGGTTGTCTTTGTGAGATTTTCGCTCATGTCAGCGCTGTTGGCGAGCCTGGAGGCATTTTCCATGGCCTTTGTCATCTGCCTTACCGTGCTGCCTCTGCCGTCGCCAGGTCCTACTCTTCCGACTCCAAGTCCGGCTCGTTCTCGCGCTCGCGCTCGCGCTCGCTCAGCACGAGCGTGTCATCGCGCTCGTCCGGCTCCTCGTCCGGCTCCAGTCGGTCACGCTCGCGCTCCGTGTCGTACGAGAGGAGAGGTGAGTGGCGCCGGCCACCGTCCCCGCGATCCCGGTGGGCCGCTGTATGAGCAGGCTTGTGCTTGTGCCCGAGCAGCTATCCTGGTTGTTTTACGAAAATTGCATTTGTGCGTGCACATCTTGAGAAATATTTTCACAAGTCCAGAGCGCAATGTCACGTAAGCTCAAGGAATCTTTGCCTCCCCATCGCTACAGATTCCTATGTTGGTAATACGGCTCCTTATTATTGATATTTCCGAAATTACCATTTGCTCGCTCACAATGCTCACGCTCACAATGAGTGAAGACAGCGGGCGCGATTTGGATCGGGGATTCATTCCGCATATCACTGGATGGTGCCGCGACGGCCTGACACCCAACCCGCTCCGCAGTGCGACGTCCGGCGGGGAGACGGGCGGCCGTCGCGAGCCGACGCGCCGGCTCCGCCTCCCCGCCCCGCCCCACCGCCGTGGCCGCCAAGCCGGCGCCACCGGAGCCGCCGCCGGTGGCGCCCGCCCCGCCGCCGCCGCCGCCACCGCCAACGGCACCGGCGGCACCAGCCGCGCCGGCACCGCCACTGAGCGCGGCCGGCTACGAGCCGCAACTGAACCGGCGGCCGATCGACCTGCTGGCGGTGAGGCCCGCCACGACCCGACGCCACTGCCGGCAGGCTGGTCCCAGTCGGGGGCTGATTTGTCTCCATTTTGATGCGAAAATCGGTGCAGGAGCCGGTTCCCTTGGGTGTGGCAGTCTGGGATGTTCCGTTTGGTCTTGTGGTTTCGGCTGCGCCCTCCAGGACGTTAATGGCACACTCGTTCCCGTGCAAATGTCTTATCCTGCGGGCGCTTGATAATGACAAACCGATTCCCGTGAATAACCCACGCCTGGGAAACGGCAGAAAGTCGATTAGCCCAGCTGCAGTGAGCATCATAAGTGCAATGCTTGAGTCCTCCGCCGCCTACTGGCGCCGGTCCATCATCGCCGCGCCCGCCTCGCGCCACCAGGAGACGGGCAAGAAGAAGCAGATCAAGCTGACGTTGCGCGGTCCGTCGGCGGTGCAGACGAGCCAGCGCGTGGTGGACCGGCTCGGTCTGCACGATACGGACGAGTCGGACGGCGAGCCGCCGCCGCCGCCGCCGCCTCCGCCTCCGCCTCCGCCCGCCGCCCCCGTGCCGCGCAAAAGGCCGGCCGAAGCGACTGCCGGGGACGACGCACCGCCCGCCAAGGTGATTGGGTGGGGAGTGGGCTTAGTAACGCCGCTGGGTGGCCCCTTCGTTGGGGTAACTGCGGGAAGGTGGTGCGGGAAGTGTGGGGTACATCTTTGAGACCCTTTAGTGTGCCAGTGCGGTGAAGGAACGCGGGGGCGGTGCTGGCTGTGCATTGTTGCCGCGATGTTGACGTGTTCGCATATGGGTGGAATTTTAGAGTCTTAGAAAAATCTGTTTGGGTTCACAGGTATACCTGATACCTTTCACGAGCTTGCGTCGTGTGTTTGAGATGGGTGATATGACAACTCATAACGTGCGGCGCAAGCCACCGCGCTGCCGGCCTGTTTTTGTTTCACCGAGCCATCAATGCATGCATACCAGTACCCCAGGCATCGCGAGTTGTCTGCATCGGTATGCTGCATCACGTGACCGTTTGCGGACGCCAGGTGGCAGCAGCGGCGCCCCAGCCGGCGGCGGCGGCCGCCACGGTCCCTCGGCCGACTCCGGTGCCCCGGCCTGTGGCGAAGAAACCGTCCACCTCCCGCCGCGATGAGCTCATGAAGCAGCTGAAGGCCGTAGAGGACGCCATCTCCAAGAAGAGGACCAAGCTGGACGTGAAGAAGACTTAGGCCGCCGGCTGAGCCGAGGGACGCTGTGTTGTATGTGGCGGGGGGGCCGGTGTTCAGGGCGGAGCGCGCTGGCTGGTCCGCCGCCGTACTCAGCTATTTGTCCCGACTGCGGAGAAGCGCCGGCGAGCTAGCGAAGCGACAGACAGGACGGTGAGGCCGACCGTTGGGCGTGCGGCGTCGCCCCCGTGCTGTTGATCACGACGGGTGACCGACGGATGTGCCGGCCATGTCACCGTCTCTGTGGTTCCACTGTGTGTTGGCCGTTCAGAATACAGTTTGTGGTCAGTCGTTGCCCTTTTGGGCCAAAGCGTGGTTGGGCTAAAGCGTTTTATTGTTTCGGACGTACATTTGCACTACAGCCGTCTGTGGCCGGTTGGGTATTGCAGTACTTTTCACATGTTTTTCTGCCTTCCCTCACATACGTCCCATGCACGTCTTGCCATCCGCACGACGGTAGATGGAAAAGGAACATTTGCGATCAGCTAACAGCACTGCTAAGCCCCTTCGCCACCACATCGCCCACCAACAGCATGAATGCAACGTCGTAGAACGAGCAAAAGGTATGCGGCCGAGCCCGAGCCACCGCCAACGGACTGAGATGCTGTTCCGGCAGCTATCTGCCATCCCCGACGGCCAGGTCCCGCCTGTTGGTATTAGCTGTTCCGCTTCAGTGACGCCCTCAAGCCCAACCCAAATAAGCCAAGTCGCGGAATCGAGGGGGGCGTTACGCGCTGGCCCTCCTCGTGACGGGAACGGAGCGACACCGAACATGGCGAGTCTGGCGGGCTACTGCAGCGGCCCCGCCCGCCTGCTGGGGCACACCGCCGCTCACACCGCCGCCAGGCCGCCGCTGTGGCTCCACCGCCGTCGGCGCCAGGCCGCCACTGTGGGCTCCACCACCGTCGGCGCCAGGCCGCCGCTGTGGCTCCACCACCGTCGGCGCCAGGCCGCCACTGTGGCTCCACCACCGTCGGCGCCAGCCCGTCGGCAGCCGGCCGTCATCAGCGAGTCCCGCACCGCGGCGCCGTCTGCCTGACACGCGCATCACCGGCCTCCGCTGGGGTAATACGGCTCTGCGGCCGGTCCGCCGTCGTCGTTGCGCCGGTGCTGCCGTCTAGCGGTCAGTGCGCGGCCGGGGCCGGCGGCGGGCGGCGAGCCCTCTCCAGCTGCGGCGCGCGCAGGCCGGCCGCCGCCGCCAGGTAGCGCTGCTCCCACTGCTTGAGAGGCAGGCCGGCGTGCTCCACCTGTTGACAAGCGGCGCGCGCCGGTTGCTCCGTCCTGGCGGTGGGCGCGCGGCCATCAGCTCAGCTCTACTGGAGCTCTGTTAACGCGTCTGATCGTGGACGTGCTGACACACATCAGCAGGGCGCTGATGGAACACTGGGAGATATCGGGACGAAATGGCATAGTGTATCACTGCAGTAGGCATTGGAGTGTTTGTAGCTGTCGGCTACAGGGTCATGAAGAGCCGAAAAGCTTTGGTAAGATGGAAAATCAGTCGCGGGGGTCATGAATGCTGATGTCCACTGAGCGGGCAGTTCGAGTAGCTGACGACAACGGTACCCAGAGTCCAGGCGACGAGTTATTTATCAATTTTGTGGTTAACCGCTCGGTATCGTGTTAATTTTTCAATGCCATACATTTATGAATAACGACAAGCTATTTCTTTCCGCCACCCTATAATTTCGATCAATGCAAAAAGGCATAACGTGAACGCGGTAGGGAGTAAACCAGGCCAAATCGCATACGCCATCACGAAACTGTCGACAACATAGCACCACAGAACAAACGCGCACCACAAAGCTACGCTACCATCGAAACTCATTGCGTCAGCCGCATCGCTGTCGGCAGTGTCCACCTCACCGCTGGTGACAGCGGCCGCCTCACCGCTGACGATATCGGCCACCTCACCAACGACGACAGCTGCCACCTCGCCGCCGACGACAGCTGCCACCTCACCGCTGGCGCCAACGGCCACCTCACCGCTGACGACAGCTGCCACCTCACCGCTGGCGCCAACGGCCACCTCATCGCTGGCGCCAACGGCCACCTCATCGCTGGCGCCAACGGCCACCTCACCGCCGACGACAGCTGCCACCTCACCGCTGGCGCCAACGGCCACCTCGCCGCTGGCGCCAACGGCCACCTCACCGCTGGCGCCAACGGCCACCTCACCGCTGGCGCCAACGGCCACCTCACCGCCAACGACAGCTGCCACCTCACCGCTGGCGCCAACGGCCACCTCACCGCTGGCGCCAACGGCCACCTCACCGCTGGCGACAGCAGCCGCCTCACCGCTGGCGACAGCGGCCACCTCACCGCTGGCGACAGCGGCCGCCTCACCGCTGGCGACAGCGGCCGCCTCACCGCTGGCGACAGCGACCGCCTCGCCATTGGCGCCACCGACACACACGTCCAGCGCCGCGGGCCGGCCGGCCGCCGCGCTCCAGACCCGGCATCGCCGACTCTCACCAGTTCTGCAGGGCGCCACGGGCTTGCTTCAGCGCCGCGCCAATCTGAGACATGTTGACCATCAGCTTCTCCAGCTGCGGCATCAGCGTGGTGCGCTCGTGTTCCATCTGACTCTCCACGCGGCGGCGACACTCTGCGGACAGGCGCGCGCATCAAGCGCGTCTCACCAGCAGCCGGGGAGGGGTCCGCTGCCGCGTGCGAACGCCGACCACACGTCAGCGTCTCCAAGTAAGAGCATTGCCAACTTTTATTAGTGAGGAGAATGATCATATTACCGATCATTTGCGGTGTCAGGTTGCGACCGATCGTGTCGCATGATGCCTCGCGGCAGTCTTCGAGACAGCACAGCCCCTGGAAGCCCAGCGCCTGTTCTGCGTACCCAAATGTGCAGCGGTGGACGTACGACCCCTCAATATGGACGCCGGGTTCGTGAAGGCTACCACTGAACACACGTATCGTCGGTTAAGATAGCATCTGCTGTCGCTCTCGCCGCCTAGTACGAAGACAAAAGGATGCATACAAAATATCAAGTCTTGTCAAAAGCAGTTGGCGCAATTCATATACAAAAAGATGATCTCTCAACTTGCAAGTCATCGGCCGTGGAAGCCACCGCAAACTGAGGAGGTGAGCTTTTGACAGATTCATCATGTCATTTATCATCAACCTGTAATTTCTGCAACATCCATAGTAAATCATTTCCACCCACTCGCAAATGCCTGCAGACGAGCATTTCTCCATGACGGATGTGACACACAAATGCATGACTGTGCCAGTACACGCTTCTATCGAGCTGCCAGATGGTGCAGAGCTCTTTGCAACTGAACCAATTGTACTGACAATTTTCTGTTGTTGCAGCTATGCATCTTTACCTGGCCTTTTTTATCAGCCAATATTAACACCACAACTTATTGCAGAAGGGTAAACTTACTTGTGGATGTTCAAGAGCTTCCGAACTTCCTGTTATCTTCGCATTCACCCGTCGGATAATGATTTGGTTTAATCTGGTGCGCACCTTAAGTTCTTTACCGCTCACAGCCGGCCTGTTCACAACAATTACACAACAACGCCCTCCAGGACACGTACGGATATCCTACTTCGGACAGGAGACCGGTGGTCATGATGCGCCCAGAAAACACAATGCGCGCGTGACCTGCGCCCCATGGTCACGGCCATTGGGTGCCCCGGATACAGCATCCCTATCTCTGACGGGCAGCCGACATTGGCGTCAGCTGGCCGCCACCATACGGGTCTCGCCGTCAGTGGACGGGGACGTTCGGCGGCCGCCTCGGCATGCACGGCGGGCGAAGGGCGTTCTCAAGCGCGGGACTCACCCTCCAGCTCCTCGGCGTGGCCGCTGCTGTCGGCCAGCGCCGCTCGCAGCTGGGCCAGTGCCTCGGCCCCAGCCGCGTCCTGCTGCTGGCGCCAGAACGCGTCCAGCGCGGCCAGCAGCTCGGCCTCCGAGGAGCGCAGCCGGCGCGTCAGGCGGGCGGCGTCCGAGCACGGCGACCGGCACAGGGCCAGGTGCGGGGCCGGCACCGGCTGGCTGCAGACAGGTCACGGGTCAGAGGTACAGCGTCAGGTGCGTCAGGTCAGAGGTACAGGGTCAGGTGCGTCAGGTCAGAGGTACAGGGTCAGGTGCGTCAGGTCAGAGGTACAGGGTCAGGTGCGTCAGGTCAGAGGTACAGGGTCAGGTGCGTCAGGTCAGAGGTACAGGGTCAGGTGCGTCAGGTCAGAGGTACAGGGTCAGGTGCGTCAGGTCAGAGGTACAGGGTCAGGTGCGTCAGGTCAGAGGTACAGGGTCAGGTGCGTCAGGTCAGATGTACAGGGTCAGGTGCGGTGCCGGCACCGGCCGGCTAGGGACGGGCCGCAGGTCGACTACACGCGGTACAACCAAACACGCGGCACTGGTGGTCAGCACCGGTGGTCACTGTCACAGGTCACCCACCCGCCCAAAATCCAAACATCGCAACACTATAATGCAGCCCGGTGGTGCAGGCCCACAACACCGCTGGCCAGTGTTGGAAAACTTGACGTCTCCTGGCATAATGTATACCAGGAGATTCTGTACTCCAGGATTGCGACTGGGTAAAATGAAATATTTTGTACTCCATCATGATGTAACAAGAAGTCGTTGGAGAAACTCACAGTACTTCCCTGTTTCAGGACAAAATTAAACCAGAAGGTGCAACAGCTTGAGACTTGCTGCTTCCATCATGAGCCATGCACTGATATCTGCAAGAGCACACATCTTGCACCTACCAGACTAAGATACCCAATAGCAAGCAGCCTATGTGGCCACCTACGCATACGGTAAATCATCTATGGAAATGTGAAACATAAAGTGTGTGAATGCTGAATGGAATCGCCTTTCGACAATACCGGGAAATGAAAAAAGGAGTAGAGAATCGCACCGGTCTGTAGATTAGCACAGCTCTCGCTTCCTACGCCATAAGCAGACCAACTCAAACTTAAACATGACTTAACCTACCATTGACGACGAACCGCATGAATCGCCAAGGACCCAATGAACAGCCATAGAAAACCACACAACCAAGCACCTACCACAGGCGGCCGCCTACTCACGCACCACCACTGTGCAATGGCAATGCAAATAAGAGAATCACTCGCAATTCAGCGTCGGCAACGTCTAAACTATTCAGCGGTTTGCGCCCGCTTCCCGCTGGAGGTTGAACATAGCAAACTTCTCCAATTGGTTGTAATGATTCGCCTCCTCGTGACTGATTTGTCAAGAGCATAAATATTCTGCTCGCGCTCACGCCTTGAACACATTATTTGTGAACATTTGGAGGAAAGCTGTATGGAGATGGCATCCCGCTTGCGACGAAAGACTTATTACTACTCCTCCAGGACCACCATGTGGTTGGATTTTTTGCCACTTCCTGGTATCCGGAGTGCAAAAATGTAATGGCAGCTGAGGATTTAAATCATGCTAAATTTGTCACTTGAGGGTGTGAAATTAAAGCTGGTAATTCAGGCTCTACAAAAGCACACTTTGAAGCCGAAAAACGTTGCTATAAATAGCACAAGAAAACCGTTCGCAGACAGCCATCTCACTCCGGGAAAAAAAACAGGACACCAGAGTAACATGAGCCCATATCTCTGGCCCCGTAAATTAATGAGAAGGGTTTATTAGGACAAAAACATCCATGAATTGCAACATAAATTATCATATTTCGCCATGATGTGGGTTAGGCACATCGAAATCCACAAATACAATGCATCATCCGCCGGAGTCAGCGGACTGACTGACTCCGGTCCCTTTAGGCGGGCCTGGGCGTGTCTGTCGGGCATTATACTTGCGCTGGCTCGGTAAATCGGTTGAGAGTGCTGCCTGTCTCTATTATTCGGCTGGGACGTGCGAGCCTCGTGTGTTGGCCGGAAGGTGGGGGGCACGAATGTTTAGCCGTTTTTAAAACCAGTTAGCTGGTGGAGCGTGAATAGCGTGACCGTGGTGGAGCGTAAGTAGCGTGATCGTGGTGGAACATAGGTAGGTGGCCGTCTGTGGCATGTTCATTTGCATTTTTTGTGTACCATTTTTCTCTGGCTGTGCGTATCGTAGCCACCGTCCATGTTGGAGTGTGTGTAAGCCCGGTGCGTAGCCACCCTCCATTTTGGAGGGTGTATGAGTCCGGCGCGTGACCATCCGCCGTTTTGGAGGATGCATACGCACAGCCGTCATAAATTGCAAACTCATACATATGCGGCTGTGTTTCATAGTACAGAGTCTGAGACGGTGTTGTTTCAGCGTGTCATGTTTAATACCGATGTTTCCTTTCATTTACAGTGCTTTTACATGCATTGTTGTCCATGAAAAGTGGCACTTTTATCGAGTACCACCCATGGTACTGTTATCTCTCAAATATAACCTACATAAAATTGTAATGACCCACGGCACTTGGCTATTTTTGTACTCCACTATACAAAATTTGTACTGCCCTACAAGGATTTTTTTGGAATTCCAACACTGTCGTTGGCCCACGGCAGCTCGGCGCCAGCCCGCCCCTCTGGTACTCACCTATCCACGACGGTCCAGCGGAGGTCGCGCAGCAGGCGGCGGCTGACGGCCTCCGCCTCTCGGCTGACGTCGTCGGCCAGCTGACGCTGGGTGGCCAGCAGCGCGGCCAGCAGCGGCGCCAGCTGCCGCTGGGCGGCGGCGGCGGCGCGCTGCTGGGCCGACCGCGTCAGCGCCAGCGAGTCGCGCCCCAGCGCCACCAGCAGTTGGATGTGCGATTTGTTTTTGTCCTGGCGGCGCCGCATGCGGAGGAGCGTGAGGCGCCGCGAATTCAGCGTGGCACCGATGCGATGCACCAGTTGGCGGCAGGTTGGTAATTATCGTTGATAGCTGATTGATACGATTCCTTTTAGATATACCATAAACAATGAAATCGTCGGTTTTTTATCGGTAAATACGGTCGCGAGAACTCACACGTTCTGGTGGATATCCAGCTCACGAAAGAAACGCAGCAACATCTGGCGGGATGGGTACAACCACAGGAGCTAGGCAACAGCTGGCGGGAGGGGTACAATCATAGGAGCTAGGCAACAGCTGGCGGGAGGGGTACAATCAGAGCAACTGGGCAACAGCTGGAGGGAGGGGTACAATCATAGGAGCTAGGCAACAGCAATCATACAACCCGAGCGCAGCACGCCAATTTCCCATGACTGGCGGCATCCGGAGGTCAGTAAGGCGACGCACGTGTTACCGGACGCCCCGACGTCGCCGAGCACTCACAATCGTCTCCTGGTTGCGCAGTATGGTGGCGTACCGCTGCTCGAGCGCCGTTCTCGTCTCGGCCAGCGAGGCCACTTCGGCGTTCAGCTGGCGCACGGCCGTTTCCATGGCGGCCAGGCGGGCGCAGGCGGCCACCGCCTCCAGGTGGGCTTCCCAGTCGGTGGCGCTGACCTGCCGCAGGCGCCGGCGGCGTGGCGAGGTCACACAGGGGGACGGGTGGTGGTGGTGGAGGGTGTCGAGGGGGCGTCAGGCCCTCCACGTCAACAGTTCATCGTCGTCAGTTTGGAGAGGACGAGTGGGTCAGCGGTAGGGTTGGGTTACAGGTGCGATGTCTGCTGGATGTCAGGCACTGGTGGAAGTGGTAGGCTAGCACGCGCCACTGGGCGATAGTCTTGGCACTGTAGCCTTCTTATCTGACAAAACAAAAACATGACCTCAGGTGGGCTAACGGATCGAAACTAAAGCCATGGCACAGGAAAGCGTCTTTTTGGTCGTGAAGGCGGCAGGAAACTGAGAGGGAAAAGGGAACAGGTTTGAGATGACAGGAAATAGTCTCAGATGAGACATAGACACCAGGAGCAACAGTCAAATGAGTGGCTGTTTAGGGCGGCATTCAACCAAACGTGAGATACTTCGTGCAAACCAGCACGCCGTCAGAATAATCAGCAATAGTTCAAATGAACAGTCCCCGACTGACGTCATCCGGACACGTACGTCTTCCTCGTCGGCCAGCTGAGCTCGCAGCTCCCGCAGCAGGCGCCGCAGCTGGTGGACCTCTGACCCGGCCGTGACCTCGGTCACGCGCCAAGTGACGTGCAGCGCGTGCAGCTCGTCCACGGACCGCTGGATCTTCTGCATCACCTCGTCGCCTCCCGGCTGGGCCTCGTCGCTGAAATGGACAGCACACAGGTTACGACCGCTGTCGCTGTGTGTATGTATTATACACAGTCACATGAATCCCTTTTAGCATCAACGCCAAACACAAAACACTGTGTGTAACACTCAACGAGAAACACCGCAAGCAGAGCATCAATCCCACCCACCCCCCCCCCCCCCCCAATTCCGACAGCAGTGCACCTGCCCCCGACTGACCTGCCGAGGCCGGCCGTCTCCTGCTCGCCCTGCTGCAGGCGGCGGGTCAGCTCCAGCCCGGCGCGCTGCTGCAGGCCGGCCAGGCTGCGCAGGATGTCGGCCGGCGCGCGCCGCTTCACTGTGCGCTGGATGGCGCGCTCGGCGCGCGCTAGAGAGTCGGCTGTGGGCGCCTGTTCCAGCGAGCGGTCGATGTGACCGGCCAGCAGCTCGGTAGCCTCGCTGATCTGGCGCTGGCCGGATGACACAAGGCCGGTCATATCACCTAGACTAGTGGGGACAAGGGAGGGATGGCTGACGAAGCGATGCCAGGAGTGGGGAGGGGGGGGGGGGGCAGGGGGAGTGATCAGATCCGAGACTAGTGGTGACAGGGAAGGGGGGACAGCTGACGAGGAGATGCCAGGAGGGGGGGGAGGGGGGGGGGGAGTGATGAAATCACCGAGACCGGTCCGGACAGGAAACGGACGGCTGACGAAGAGATGAAAAGAGGGGTAGAAGGGGGGGGGGGGGCAGCCAAATTACGACTAGAGGGGACAGGGAAGGGACGGCTGACGAACAGATAAGAGGATTGGGGGGGGGGGGGAGCGTTTGACTATTCCGTGGAGATGTACGCTGGGCATGGCAGGTCAGACCAATTACTGCGGGCCGCTGCCAGCGGTATCTTAAAATTTTGCGTTTCTAAATTCGCCGCTGATAAAAACACGAAGGACGTTTGGTGCTGAATGGTGCGTAACGCTGCGCACATTCACCCAAGGAAGGCAGATCTATTTCAATGCATTCCGGTGAAAGCACGAGGAACGTAAATCACCACCAAAGACGATTGAAAAAGCATAAGCCTGGAGACAACACACGAAACGCGTGAGTCAAGTTTCGATACTGTGAAGCGCGCAGTACGAGCGCGTTATGGCAACGCGATCATCACGAAGACCACGGTCCACAGCCTTAAGCATGGACGGGGTTCTACTGCCACTAATACAAGTTCGCAGCCTGGCCAGTTTGTAAAAGCCTGTCTGTCTGCCCCAGACCTCGAGCCACACAGGTCTGCGTCGGTGCGTGCCGGCCCGGGCCACCACCGGGTCGGTGCCGCGGCCGGCGCCACCGCCGCTCACCATGCAGGCCGTCTCGCCGTCGTCCTCGCCGGGCAGCGACGGCCCGCCACCGGCCAGCTGGCCCAGCTGCTGGGCGAGCTGGCCGACGAGGCGCGTCTCCTCCTGACACCGCTCGGCGTGCAGCCGGTGACAGGTGGCGAGGCGCTGCTCCCTGCGGATCGCCTCCCGCCGCTCCAGCACCGCCGCCTCTGCGGAACGTCGCGGCCAACGACCGTGTGACACGGTACGGACATCATTGGGGTGCATGTGACACGGTACGGACATCATCGAGGGCGTGTGAGACGGTACGGAAATCATCGAGGCTGCGTGACACGGCACAGACATCATCGAGGGCGTCTGACATCATCGAGGGCCGTGACATGGCGCCTATGTACTACAGCGCTTTGACATGGCGCCTATGTACTACAGCGCTTTGAGCGTAGCTGTTCATCAGGCGTAGCAACGTCAGCACCGATATGTTCTCAGGACGACACAGCGCGGCCACCACAGCTGTCCTGCGTCACGGCACACACTGGTGCAATGCGGCACATCAAACATCACAATAAAGCCCTCGGAGTACAGCAGTGCGTAAGAATTCCCGATAAAGCAATGTCGAGTGGTCGTCCGTTGTACGAATCAGATCGCGCAGAAGGTAAACAATGCTCGTATTGAGGTAATTTGGTACGACAAAATGATTATTTTGTTCAGTTAAGGTACTTTTACGAATAATTTCCTCTTCTAGTTTCAAGGACTTCACAGTTCATGTGCTGAATGTTTGAGGTGGTCTTGCGCAGATCCTTTGTAAGTGCCTCCTTTCGTCCTTGCAGGGTCTTTTCTTCAGGTGCAGACATCTGCAGGGACAGAAATATATATATATATATATATATAGACACATACAGCTACTTGAATTCCAGGGTTCAGTCTGCAATCATGCCAATCACAACTTAGTGACCACAGCCAACTGCACAATAGCATAACATGAGATAAGCTGACAATGGCACATTTTGGCACATAAGCTGATTGCTGGCACATTTTGGCATCCAATCAAACAACATTCTGCACATTTGTTTGCAACATGCTGATTGTAATTTTGTTAGTTATCAGCTTTCTGCATGAACATACCATCTTTTTACCATTTCTTCCTTGACAGAGCTGCAAGTTTCCTTTGATGGCATGGATGCTGTGTGGCCCATACACATTTTCCATCAAGTGCTTCCACACATCTGGTAACTGGGCACAGCAAAGTCTGAAAAAAGATTGACCTTTAGTGGAGTGACACATGGCTTTCAGAATCTCACCTTCTCCTGTGGGCTGGAGCACAATTGTTCCATTTGTGGTGCCAAAACTCAGCAGGTTGCAATGAAAAAATGGTTGGATGGAATGGTTGTTATGGCTGGTTATGGTGTTAAGTCAAGGAAATATGGCTTATGGAGTATGGTATGTATGGTAATGGAAATACCTGTGCAAGCATTATACAATTATTTGCCACATATTCTTTCATCTTTCATCATTCTTCCACACATTCATCATCACATTTCAGCTTTTCAAATATGATAACAGTGTCTGCTATTGAGGCTATGTATCACTGTCATTCAAAATTGCATCAATGGCCACTTGAAAAATATAACAGAAAATTGCAACTACTAGAAATTTGATCAACACCCAAGTTGTTGCCTCAAGGCAGGGCAAGGTCATCTAACACCCTTTTTTAATTTTCTTATGCTATCCCAACCTTCCAAATTTTGACTGTTGTTTATTGACCAGGCCATGGAATGCAGCAGTCCCCCCAGTATTCAATCAACATGGTAAATAACAGTGGCAAGCTTGTCTGGAAATCCCCTGAAATGAATATTTGCCACTTTGTTACCTGATCAGGAAAGCATCAAGCACAGGGTAATAAATATTCCAGGTTGTCTTCATTTACTTTCTTTCACATTATTTATCAGTAAATCCTCTAAATTTGCTTGTACAATATACAACCTTTACAAAAACATATTTGAGAGTGTGGATGGAAAATAAATGGCCTATTCACATTGGCTACCACCACCTAAAGCAATCACAAAAATGACTCATCTACTGCGGATGATCCACACAAGAGAACTGTTGAAATGCTTGTAAGCCAAAGTATGTAGGCATCATTTTCTCTTCAGTCATGATCAGCAAGTCCTTCGATCAAACCTGTAATGATGACATGCATCATCATGATCTAGGCTGCATCTTACTCTGCTAGATTCTCTGGAGAGGGTATTGTACGACATCCATCAGCACCAGAAGCATCATACTGCATTTCATTCATAAGCCAGATGTGCAGGCTATGAGCCAGGTCTTGAGCTGAACTGGATGCCATGGTGCCTGAAAAGAAACAAAAAACTCATGAATGCATGACTCAAACAGCTTCCTCCACGTCAGAATCACAGCAAAAATTTGCACATTTAAGACTGATAATGTATCTAACAATACATAGAGGAGAAATTTGCTGTCTGCTGCGCCTGCATAGGACAGACATAACTGTCAATATATTCAAGCCATGAAGTGATGCATATACAAACGTACCCTCACATGATGAGCACAAAGCTCACGCATACAGCACAAAAAAATGCATCCTTATTTAATACAGACCTGTTTACAGATCTTCCAATTTCTTTGACACCCGGCTATCCCTAAGGCTCTTAACGTAAGGAACCAACGCCCGGTAAGGAACAACGACGTTCGACTATAGAGCCGCAGATCAAGTCAACCGCCAAGAACCGTAAAGGGAATCCGAGCAGAATCGTCGAGCGATTTTAGCGCCCCATCCGCTGAGCATTAGCGTGACGTCAATGGATCCTTTTCTCAGCGGACGCTGCGCGCGGCCTCGTCGTTGCGAACTGTTCCGAACGGAGTCAAGGGCAAATCCAGGATTTTATCGAGGGGTAGAGGTGGGAGGGGGGGGGGGAAGTAAGCAGTGTTGTAGTACCCCTAGAGATTGGGACTCCCTCCGATAAAAATACTCGGCCAGCTCGGCCTATTCCGACCAATAGTTTTAAGATTCTTACTCACCATTTTTTTACGCTGGCACTCGTGTGCAAATACGTGGAGCTCGTTCGCATTCGCCAGATCATGATGGATGCCGTAATCTTGTGGCCAAGGATTTCGGGAAAATCATGCCAATATGCCCCAAAGTTGGCCACCAGATACGATCAAAAGGCAGAGATAAAAATCGACATGACCCAGTCACGCTTGTTCTCCGAGCTGGCTCCTATGATCGCCCTGAAACCTTTACCAATCGACTCAGTGTAATAAACTGAGTGATTTGGTGACAATAGCCGGCCTTCACCCAGGATCAAACACCCAAAAACGCCAAGGGAAAATTTCAAATACAAAAGCAGATGATTTGGATATTAAAAGCTACCGCATCGATCACTGTGAAACACCCACAATAGCGCAGGTAGGGGGGCACAGGGAGCACATACCCACCTTAGGTTCCGAGGGGCCCAAAGAGCCCCTCGGAACCTAAGACTAAGGGCACAATTTGAGGTCCCGAAGGTTCTAAAGGCCAGCCGGAGGTCTCATTCAGGGGCCCCAGCCGACAGGGCCGGGGCCCTGTCCCTGTCAGCCAAAGTGCCCTGTGCGCTGATCAGGGACCCACTGAGTCGACAAGGGCCTTCATTTCGATCGGACACCACTAACAACACACAGTCGGCTCCACAACGGCATGGGCCGAGGGGCACATTTCCCCGAGCAGGGACAAAGCCGGGGCCAGTGATTTATGTTGCTTGGATTAGGCCAACAGCGCCCAACAGGGGTCCTGTGTTGTCAAAGGTCCCGCGTCGCCCAGAGGTAGTGTTCGAGGAAGCACAAAGAGCCTAGAGGGTCCACCGGGTTAGAGCATCAATGACCCGATTGGAGGGTCTAAGGGCATGAAGGGCTGGTCGGAGTCTTATTTAGGGACTCGACCTGGGAAGACGGACCCCCAAATAACGGTCAGAGCGCACTTTGCGCCAGTCGGGACCCCTTGAGCCGATATGAACCTATCTCTTGGTCAGGTACCGCCGTACCACATAGTCAGCTCCGTATCGGTATGGGCCTGAAAACCCAGTTTCCAGTCAGCTTTAAAGACAAGACCAACGATTTGCGCTGGTCCGGGGCATTGTATCTGTCAGGGGCCCACAGCCCGCTTAACAGGGCCCTGTGATCGCAAGGACCGCGAGCCGACCGAAGGAAATCGGCCAGAGACCACGAATACCGAACAGTGGGCTCCGTGTCCGTCTGAGCCCTAGATATCTATTTCCCAAGCATAAACGAGGCCGTGTCCGCAATTTTCAACGCTTGTGGTCCCTGACACAATGAGGGACTCCTGTGTCCGTTGGGAGCCAAAGTGGCGAACAATGGTCCTGTGGCGGCAAGTGATCCCGAGCCGGAGCGATGTTTGAGTGGCCGAAGGGTCCGAAGAGGGGCTCTCGAAACCAAAGATCAAGATCCCGATGGGATGGCTAAAGGGTACGAAGGGCTGACTGTAGGCCACATTAATGACCCCCGCCCAAGGGCCGTGATCTCAAAGGTCAATAAGATGACACTTTGCACCGATAGCTTGCTTTGAGACGGAGCGTTTCTCTCTGTCGGCCAGAGATCACGAACAACGAACAACTGACTCCATGTTGGTCTGAGTTCCGGGGGCCGACTTCCCAAGCTGGTACAAGCCCGGACCCACGATTTATATTGATCAGGCACCTGTGTCATTCAGGGGCCCATAGTGCCCAACACGACATTATGGTCATTCTGTGTCAACAAGGGCCCTCGAATCGGTTAGGGGAAGAATTGCTCAACAGGGACGGGGACGGGAGCCCGAAAGCAGAGGATCCGCTTGTCGCGGCCCTCCAACGATTAAAGGAAACAGAAGAACTTGTGATGAGTGCTCACATTGAGGTAACAGAAGAACTTGTGATGAGTGCTCACATTGATGAAACAGAAGAACTTGTGATGGGTGCTCACATTGAGGTAACAGAAGAACTTGTGATGAGTGCTCACATTGAGGTAACAGAACTTGTGATGAATGCTCACATTGATGAAACAGAAGAACTTGTGATGGGTGCTCACATTGAGGTAACAGAAGAACTTGTGATGAGTGCTCACATTGATGAAACAGAAGAACTTGTGATGGGTGCTCACATTGAGGTAACAGAAGAACTTGTGATGAGTGCTCACATTGAGGTAACAGAAGAACTTGTGATGAATGCTCACATTGAGGTAACAGAGGAGTCCTGCATCAGTCAGGGCCCCCAGTGCCGAACGGTGGGCCCTCCAACCCTACTCCAGCACGGGGCCCGTTAAGCCCAACTGGAGTCTATGTGCCAATCATATGACCACCTGCCGCGAGCAGAGATGTTGTTGCGTTCATGACGGTTCATGAGTTGGTAGGGGGTCAACCGTGCGGGTCAGCAGGCATTCCGCGTCAGGGAGCGGACCAATGTGATATGATGTATCCTTTTAAGAGCCTTGGGATCGGTCAGGGATCCCGCCCCGTGTCGCCAGAATGACAGCCAGAAGACACACCGCGGTGGGACAAAGTGGCCCTTCAGCGTTTGACCAGGAGCAATAATGCGTCCCGTAGTAATCTATTTAAGGGGACCCCTTGCCCTGAAATAAGGTGTCTCATTAGTGTTGAATGGAGTGGGTCGGAATGAGTTTATAAAATGCACAAGACCATCCCATCTTTGTCAGAGAACGTTCACCCTTTTGCAGGATCGACAAGGGATATAAAAAATACATCAAAAGATTTAAGCATGGCGCGTCTGGGAAATCAGAGGTACTGGACTCGATTCCCCGAGGTGCCCACCCTTTCTGCCAGGCTGAGAGGTAGGCAACGCCATAAAGCCTGAGCAGCTGAGTTGTTAAGTCCTAACGACACGCCCGTAATCTCGGGGAATAAGCATAGCGATTGCCTGGGTCGTAGTTTTCGTAAAACCGTACGGAGTTCGCCACTGCAAGTAACGCCAGGGGACGGGCGCTGAGCGCGCGACAATGACCATCGTATAATATTTCTGAATGTCTTGCAAACTTAATTCGTGTGGTTCAAAGATTAGTAACTGGGCTTTTTACAGGTTTTAGTTTGCTTTCTGGGCAGATTAAAATTTACGACGGGAAAAACGGACGTTTCACCTTTACTTTTCCAATTCCACCACCAGACTCAAGCAGCATTTCGCGGTACTGTAATGGCCAATGCGTTATTGTCATCCATCAAAAAAATATATATACGCCCGGAATATCTTTATATGTACGGTGTGGTGTCCAAATGCGTTTCTTTAAGATGCGTCACCATTTTCGTTCACCTGTTGGCCACAACCTTATATTAGCCACGCGCCAACGTTGGGCGGCCCATGGACACTGCAACGCCTAGCGTCGAGTTTTTGGAAGATACCAGCGCACGCACGCTAAAAACTACGTTGCGTAATTTGTACTAATAATCAATTATGACTGACTATTGAACATATCCGGACAAACGTAGCTTGGCCATGTTAATACACATTTTTGACCCATTTTGATCTTCAACCTGCATTTGCTGGAGCCTTGCTATGGCTGTAACACCCAGATAAAAATCCTAACAAAGGTTCCGAGTTCTTTTGGTGTTAAAAGATTCCACTGGACCGTTTCAAAATGACTGAACATCGCCGGCGATTTATCTCATGCAGCATTTAACGCATAATTTTGTCTGTATACTTATTATAAACTTCAGCCAGAATTTATCTCGCGGTAGCGTCTGGCCAATATTCGAATTATAGAAGGCATATATATATATATATATATATATATATATATATTATATATATACGTGTACATAAACATATACAAGACAAACATGCTCTCAATAACAAATGAGCCATATCCGGCGATTTTCTTTGGGGGGGGGGGCCTTTTACTATCAGAGGACCCTTGCTCACCCTGGGCCCGCTTGCCAAGGCTCTGGCTGTACCCTTAAACCCCTACCATTGGATGCCCATATCTGATTTCCTCTTGTAGTTGAAGAAACCTTTCCATTCATTGCGCCGTTTCAATACGTGATTCCCTGCTGAAGCTCCAAACGTGCTGCCATTTACAATCACGCTTACTTCTTTGTACGTTTATCCCAAGACAGTGTGTAACTTGATTAGGCTGGTCTCATTAAGTTAGACACCATTTATTATGTTAATTTCTCCTTCACACAGGTGCTCTATTCAAGGTAAGCACTGCATTTTGCATGGTATCGCCCGTTTAGACTTTTGTGCATGGTATTGCCCTTATATGTTCTGTGCATGGAATCGCCGCCCCAAATGCTCTGTTGGCCTGGATCCTCCAAGCAGCCGCCTAAGGCCCTGTAACAAGGTGATTATCGCCGTGGCACCGTATCGCCGGGACCGTCATGTCATTACTATGTGTATGCCTCCTCAGCAGCCCTTTGTTGATGTCTGGCTGTAAACGGTTCAGACGTCCGCGGCATCGAACAGCCTGGACCACGGCCGTGACGGATGTGGTGGATTTGACGTGCCCGGCCGATAGACCCGGGCGAAATGTACTGCTTTGGTCAGTGTCCGGCTGTGACAGATCCGTGACCTCCGAATCCTATTCATAGCATTTGCTTTCTGCAATCTGCGTATAGCTTGTTACCAAGGTAATGGTCCTAGAAGCAAACGGCGGCAAACGACGGAAAAGACGTCACTGCTTTGGTCAACGGCAACATTGAGTTTCACCATGGCCGTTGTGAGCAGCCGTG